GAGACTGGCCTTCCAGGCGAATAGTGGCTCCCGCTACCAGCGAGGCTGGAACACAGCACCAAGAAGCCCCTGTAGCCTCTGTCACCACACTTGCAGAGAGCAGGCTAGCAGCCTTGGGGCCAAGAGCAGGGCTTTGAGGTAGAAGCACTGGGTCTGTGAGCACACGGCGCGGGCTGTGCAGCCGGGCGCCATCACTTGGGTACAGGCAGAACCGAGCAAGCACAGTGGGTGCCGGCGGTGGGCGAGTGCTAGAAAAATCCAGTCCAGCAAATACACGGTTCCTCCTTGACCTCTGGAATAAAACACGTGCGAGAATGAATTCTTTGCAAAAGGAGGGAGAAAGGGCAGTACCAGGCGGAGCTAGAGGAGGCAGGAGACAGGGAGGCAGGAGCAGAAGGGAAGGTCCTCTGGGCACAGGACGGTGGCAGGCTCTGTGAGCTGGGGCTGACTCTCCGTGGCTTTCAAGGGAGAGAGCTAGTGTTCCAGGAAGGACGCGGGGACTGCGTACGGATCTGCTCTGGCACGTGGGACGTGGCACACCTGGCTGGCGCTGGGTGACAAGACAATCTCTCTTCCTCCCGCCTTCTCCAGAGACCGTGACGGCTACTGCATCCACGCTGCTCTCAGCACAGCGGGTGACCACAAAGCCAAGTGTGGATGGACTGTAAGGGGCTTGCCACTCTCGTCCTTGGTGCTTCTGAGCCTGAGGTGGCACTGCTTGGACCAGAGACTCAGGTACTCTCTCAGTGAACTTCCAGAAAAGAGCTACCACCAGGTGAAGACTGTCACATGTCCATTCAAATCCAGTGTTTTCTTCTGTGTTAAGGACTAAGAATGGAGCGAGTGGATTTTAGCAGACTAGACTACCATGTATATGTGAGAGAGACAGAGACAGAGACAGAGAGCATGCAATGGGTTGGCTATTGGACCTAAAGGTTCTCAGTTTTAAAGGTTCTTAGTTCGATGAAGGAGGCAGAGACCAAGCATTAGTACGGGCCTCCCTCCCTATCCCTCCTGAAATAGGTCTGCAAGTGGCAGAGCTACTGAAGACTCGGGGTCAAGAAGTACACGGTACTGTTCTCCAGCAAAGTCGAGGAACTCAACTCCTGCAGACCCGCGGCCATGAGGCACAGGATGCCATGCAGCCCCCACTCCTACCCTTGGCGCTCCCATCTCAAAGTCCTCCTTCCTCACTCTCAACAAAAGGACAAGCTTCTAAAACAGATGCAGGGAACACAAACACAAAGCCAGAACTCTCTCCCTTGAGGAAGGTCCTTCTTCATGGGTATTTGCAACTCCTGGCTGGAACGAGGTGAAGTCCAGGACTCGGCCTGCAGGCCCTCGCCAACCCCAAGCACATGCGTCCCTTTAATATCCATCCGGCGGCTGCTGGGCTGTGCCCAGGGCACCTCATCCTGCCCTCGTGGGTGACTGAGCTCAGTGAGGACGGTGGGGCTCTGCCGGAGCTGGGTGGCTAGTTGCCTGATGACTTCGGCCGGCCCAGGTTTGTTGGCACTTCCAATCCCGTGTGCAGTGTGACCTGGGAGAGAAGACAGAATAACCAGGGCAGAGAGGCTCACGCGGACCCTGCGGGCACACAGGGCCACAGCAGCGTCGTCTGGAGTGAGCGTGCCGCTGGTCGTGCTGCTCGGTATGGTGGTCAGGGTCCTTGTTGGTTTGGCCTCTGTCCTCCTAGCAACCACCCATCTGGCCTAGAGTCTCATTTTGCCAAACTGCTGGAGCCCGAGCAAGGTCAGGACTCACTCACAGTAGGGGCACTGGCTCTCATGGGTGCATATGAGGCATCTTCAAAAGTGCATGGAAGGGGGACCAGCAGTTAGCGTAATGGCTATGTCGCTGGACTCCCATGTAGTTGACCGCGGTTTGCGTCCCGGACCCGGTGGCTTAAAACTCATGCCGGGCGCGTGTGCATGTGTGCCCAAGATCGCGAGGAGGAGAAGGGACTGCGGCGTGGCCATCACCTAGGGGGGAGGGGGGTGATTTCTCTCTTTCTGTCTCTCTGTCTGTCCGGCGAGTGCACGTGCCCTATAGCAAAAACCTCTAAAAAAAAAAAAAAGTGCATGGAAGATGCCTATTATGAAAATAAATTAAGAATGGAATTAAAAAATGTTTGCACTAAAATAAACTTGCCCTTTAATCCCATTTTTCCACGAGCTTTTCAAAATGCTTATTTATTTCTTTCTTCCATGAGAGAGAAAGGTGCCCAGCAGCGTTTCCACGCTGAGATCTGCAGTCCATCCCAGCCTGTCACTCCTGGAGCATGGCCATGCCTGGCATACTTGGGGAGGCCCCGGACAAGCCCTGGCCTTCCCCTGTGGGCCAGCCTCACGGCCTGAACCCCACGTTCTCCGTGGCCCTGCCCTTCCCTGTGGGTGTGGCCCTAACCCTGGGGGACACCGCCCACATTCCAGGCTCCAGAAACCCGTCTGTGGGGCTGATGGACTCATCGCCTTCAGGCCCACGGTGTGGCACAAAGCAGGTCTCCGCTTCCTCCACGGGAAGGAGGGCTCTGCTGGGGACTAGGGTTGCGCCTCCACAGTCCCCTCCTCCCTCACTGTGCTGCTCTGTCTCGGGCCTCCCAAGCTCGTTCCCTCAGACTGGCCCAAGCAGCTGCCTGGAACTGGGCTCGTGGCAAGCACCTGAGTGGAGATTTCTAGGCCAGAAACAGCCGGGCAGGTGGTCGGCAGGCTCTGCGGCTGGGTGGGCACTGTGTTTGGCCTCTCTGGAGCCCACTTCTCCCATGCACACTGCCGAGGCCGTGGGCGAGCGGCGCTGGCGGGGCGCGTGGTACCTGCACATTGCGATTGAGGCTGAGTGCCGGCATGAAGACCCCGTCCACGTGGCTGAAGGCCGTGGGGCCCTGCTGCTGCCCGTTGATGAAGAAGGTCAGCGTGTGCTGGTTCAGGTCCAACAGCACGCCCACGGTGGCACCCTTGTACACGCCGCCCTCCGTCCTGGGAAGAGAAGCCAGGAAGACCCTCAGCACAGCTGCTGGCTGAGGGAGAGGGATTTCCATGCAGCCCCACGGGTGGCTGGCCATGTTCTTCCGGCACACGAGCCCCCTCGGATGGGCGTGCACTCCATGAATGGCCGCCCTGGAGGGACCAGGCTGTTTCCGTCTCTTTCTGACAGTACCTGAGACCTGCACACCAGGGAATTAGGCTTCGATGAGTGGCCCCATTGGAAACCGTGGAGCAGAGCGTGGGTAGGAGAGGAGCTCATGTGATGCCCCTGTCGGTTTCAGCCCAGGGAGGATGTCGTAAAGGCCCACCTCCCTTAGGCTGGCCTTCCCAGGAACACCTCAGGGACCTTTGACATGTGGTGGGGAGGGGGTGGGGATGCAAATTCGGAATCTAGTTTCTGACTCACCATCCCACCCCAGCCCCTGGAGCCTAGAGGACATAAACCGTGGAGCTCTCGATAAGGCTGAGCTCTGTGGGTGGTGACCAGTCCCATCCCCAAGGGGCTGGGTCCTTAAAGAGCAGCGCTCTCCGGGGGCGGGGGACGCTTCTGACTCTCCGTCCTGTGGGTGGAGTCCAGCAGCCTCTCCCTTCCCTTAGCTAAGGGCCAGGTCTGAGCCTTGACCTTGGCTCTGGTGAGCAGCAAGACAGAAAGTCCTGGGGATTTGGCTTCCCCAGTGGGCAGGTTTCTCAGAGGGTGAGTTAGGGTCGGGTAGGGCAGGACTGGGCAGGAGAGACTTGGGACCTGAACCCACCGTGGGTGCTTCTCACACCAACCACCAGGTGGTGGTAGGGACCAGTCTGCGGTGCAGGAATGTGATTCCTATCCAAGGGCAGACTCTGGACAGGTCAGGGCTGGGGCACCAGTGGCCGAGCACCCCAGGGCATCACTTCTCCCCACCCAGGCTTCCTCCAGGACTGTGTGCTCACCCTCCAGGACTGTGTGCTCACCCTCCAGGACTGTGTGCTCACCCTCCAGGATGGTGTGCTCACTCTCCAGGATG